GTCTGTAGTAACAATGAGGTTTTTTTTCCCTTCCTTTCTTCTACCCAGTTTCTCACAGTTGTGTAATGATTTGTATTTGCATATTCAATAGAGACTCCTTGTAATTATCTGGGATTTTTCCACTCTGTTGAATTCTCTTCTCTCCCATGTAGTTTATCCTGCAAACATCTCTTGCCCAATTGCCCGCATCATCTCTTTGGTTCAGACCTGGGCTTTACCCACGTTCCTTCTGCAGGGGCCGTGGTCCCTGTGTGCCTTCTGCAGGGGCCGTGGTCCCTGTGTTCCTTCTCCCGGGGCCGTGGCCCCTGTGTGCCTTCTGCAGGGGCCGTGGTCCCTGTGTGCCTTCTGCAGGGGCCGTGGTCCCTGTGTCCCTTCTGCAGGGGCCGTGGCCCCTGTGTGCCTTCTGCAGGGGCCGTGGTCCCTGTGTCCCTTCTGCAGGGGCCGTGGTCCCTGTGTGCCTTCTGCAGGGGCCGTGGCCTGAGAAGTGTCTTGAGGAAGTCAAGTGTGATCATCGTACAGCAGCTCCCTATCTCTTGTCCTTCCTGTGTGATATCTGCTCTCTTAGAAAGCATCTACTTACCCTTAAAAAAAAAAAGAATTACTTATTTTTAGTAGACCCTAGCCACTAGGCTACTGTGCTGTGCCCATGTCTACTTGCCTTTTATTTTTTGGGTGGGGGAAGGTGGTTTCTGTTGGTGTGAAAAGGTGAAGCTTGTCTCTGTGGCTCTCATTGCTGCAAACAGAAATGGCATGGTGAAATCTGAAGCATCTATGATCTTAATGTCGTGAAAAGATCTCAGTGAAGATTAGGAAGTAGGTCATGTCTCCTGCGCCTGAAGCTTCCACTCAGTAAGCTGAACAAGACTTCAAGACAATCATATTCTAATAGCCTACTCAACACATAAATCAAGAAGACAGTTTTCTTTCACGGTGTAACTTTTAAACTGGGCCAAAAAGAAAAAAAAAAAAACCTTGAGATGAATGAGAAATCAATTTAAATAAGGACAAAAAGTATTTGCATTCAGTTCCATTGATGAACCCACTCTCCTCCACACAGCATAGGGACTTAGTACAGAGGTGTAATTTTAACTGAGTACATTGAAAATGGGGTATTTTGACCTCAGTGTTAGAGAATGGATTTTCATATTTGGAATGCCCTTTTCCGTGATAACTACTCATAGTTAGTCGTTGTTTTAGGTCGTCTGCTTGTCTAATAACCCCCAGTCGGAGGAGCAGGGTCTGTACTATGCACGCAGTGTGGAGCTCAATGCGGGGGTTGGATCATCCCACATGGGGCGATGCAGGCAACATCCGTGCAAAGCTCCTCTGCCTCTGTCACAGTGGGGGAGAGAGGGGAGCGCCTTGGTGGCACCTGCACATTTCCCATGTTAGGACGGGGCTGTGTCTTCACCAATGCCTAGTCCTCCATGTGACTATGTTTGTAAGCCAGGGTTTTCAGTGAAGTCCATCAAGTTAAACGGAGTGATAAGGTGATGAAGTTATAAGAGTGGAACCCTAAGTCCAGCACAGCTGAAGGCTTTCTGAGAGAAAAGGTTGACTGCTTCTGTAGAGGTGAGCGTACAGAGAGAAGACGGATACCTCTGAGCCCTGGACAGCGGCCTCGGGAGAACGCGAGCTGGCTGACTTGAGCTGGATCTTGCATTTGAGGCTTCAGAATTGTGAGGAAGGAATTTCTGTAGCTCACACATCTCCTTCTGTAGCATTTTGCTGTGGCAGTCCTAGTATATTGAGAAATCCTATAACTTCTGTGTATACCTATTTTACAGTTTGCAAAAGAGGGGTACTACAAATGATAATCCTGTGGGCTTTTAAAAAAAAAATTCTAAATTCAGATGATAATTCTTGTGTATGGTGTCAGTTAAAAGTAATAATTACTGGGGTTGACATTGTGGCTTAGTGTGTGAAGCCTCCACCTGCAGTGCTGACATCCTATATGGGCTGTTTCTCTTCCAATCCCTGGTAATGCACCTGAGAAGGCAGTGGAGGATAGCCCATGTTCTTGGGCCTCTGTATCCATGTGGGAGACCTAGAAGAAGCTCCTGATTCCTGGCTTTGGATCAGCCTGGCTCCAGCCATTGTGGCCACTTGGGGAGTGAACTAGAACATGGAAGATCTCTCTTTCTAACAATTCAGATAAAAAAATATGTATTTTTTTAATTGGAAAGGCGGATATACAGAGAGGAGAGACAGAGAGGAAGATCTTCCGTCCGATGATTCACTCCCCAAGTGAGCGCAACGGCCAATGCTATGCCGATCCGAAGCCAGGAGCCTCTTCCAGGTCTCCCACGCGGGTGCAGGTTCCCAAGGCTTTGGGCCGTCCTCGACTGCTTTCCCAGGCCACAGGCAGGGAGCTGGAAGGGAAGCGGGGCCGCTGGGATAGAACAGGCGCCCATATGGGATCCCGGGCGTGCAAGGCGAGGACCTTAACCACTGCGCCACCGCTCTGGGCCCAAGATAAAAAATATTTTTAAAAGAGTAATAATTATCAAGAAATATAAGACAATTTTGCATAAAATCTATTTTGATATCTTTAGCTTGTTTTGTTAAAAAAAGGAAAAGGATTCTAGGACTACACTACATTTTTTTTTCCTGAGTGTCACATTCATTGGTTGAGTTTGCCTTGTATCAAACAGTTGGCACGAATTTTATGTAATTAAAAATTTCTTGTCATGGTCCTGGCATGCTCACCTTGTGGCTAAAGTCCTGCCTTGCATGAGCTGGGATCTTAATATGGGCACCAGTTTGCAACCCAGAGGCTCTACTTTCCTTCCAACTCCCTGTCTGTGGCCTGGGAAGGCGGTAGAGAACAGCTCAAAGCCTTGGGAACCCTGTGCCCACCCATCCTGGCTCCTGGCTTTGGATCAGCTAGCTCTGCTGTGGCCACTTGGGGAGTGAACTAGCAGATGTAAGATCTGTCTCTCTCCTTCTCTCTGTAGATCTGACTTCCCCCTCAAAATAAATCTTTTTAAAAAAGATAAGAATTTCTTGTTGCAGTGAACTCAGGTCTAACTTTGGTCCCCGCACCCCCCCCCCCCCCCCCCCGTCTCAGCGGTATCTTCCTACTTGCGGAATAACTGGCTAATATCACTGTAAAAACGGGGTCCCTGGAATTGGAGTCAACCCCGTGAAGACGGTTGGGCCAGCAGCTTGTGCTTAGATTAGTTTTTCTGCTCATTACTCTTCCCACAGTTGCTCAGAGCTAAGTTGCTTTAGAAGCTTCTCTTTTTATGTTTTCCCCTAGAAACCTATACAGTGTTCCAGTATCCAAATTTGTAATAACTAATTTACCAGTCTGTCTTCCTTGACTATTCTGAAGACTTGTGGGCAAGGATTGGGTTGTTTATCTCCTCATTATCATTGCATATTTACGGTTTAAGCTGAAGTCTGAATCCTGCCATGATCCAGCATGCGGTACTGAATCAGAGGGTTTAAATTAAAATTAAAGTGTTGGCAAATAGGTTGGTATGTTCCTGCATGCATGAAGGGACATGAGAGGGTGATTCTGCATTGCCTTCGTCTCTGACAGGAGGAGTGTGTTTTTACAGTTTTGAGCAAGCAACCCCATCACAGGTGCAAACAAGTAGGTAGGTTGTTAGGAGCATTCTGTTCAGACAGTGTAAGAAACAGCCTTTTGCTGTCAATGCTGAACTGTCGCTGTCCCGCAGTGATGGACTTGGTGCACGGAGCCGATAATAACACACATGGACCCTGACTGATGGTCAAAGCCGAAGTTTATTAGGGGCATCAGACTTCATAACACTGAGAGTCCGTATGTGATAAGGGAGGAAGTATTGAGCTCATCAACAAAACCCAGTAACAGTTTCTATACTTCTGTTTGGAACTCCTTTTGTGTTGTATATTCCACCAAGTGTTCTATAGAAAAGGTAGCCATTTGGTTATTCTCATGCAAATATTATCCAATCAGCTGTAAAGCTGTGCTGGCTGACCCTCTAGGGTCATAATGTCCTCCTACACTGAACAGAAAAAAAAAATGGATTTAGCTGTACCAAATTTGTGGGCTATGTATTTGGGTCAGGTGAAGGAGAGGGAGAAGCTTGAGGAAGAAATGAGAAGATTTGGAAAGATCAGGACCCTTTGTTTCGAGGGCTAAGGATGGGGGAGCCAGTTGGGAATTGGATCATTTCAGTGTGGAATGACTAGAACAGGGAACCCGTGTTTTGTACCATGATCTAATTCTTGAGGCAAACAAGGTTATTTCACAGATACAGTATGATTTAATTTAATCCCCGAGGAAGGAAGTTGGTGGTTTTTTTCTGCAGGGTAGGAGGAAGGGAGACCGTAAAGTGACTAATTTGATTTTTACTCTAGCTTTTCCCGAATTCCGTTCTTTGTTGAGGTTTTTATTCTCTCTTCATGTCTGAAACTGACATCCCTGGGGGATCGTCTTCTTTCTTCTTATTTATTTCTTAATATTTTAGGAGTGAGAAGACAGCCTAGGTTGAAGGCAACATCAGCCATGTGTTCATAGCCTCACATCATACTTTCGGTTTGCCATGAACGAGCTACACGATCTTAGGCCCTTACAATTTTTCTAGACCTAAAAATCTTGGACCAGATAATCTTCCAGGTACCTTTCCAAGTCTCATAACTTGTGAATAAAAAGCTTGGACAGGATATTCCGGGATTTTATATACTTCACTCCTGGAAATTATCCTTTCTTGTACCCGTGACGCAAATTAGCGAGAAGGCCGCATTCTTTTTAACTTTCTAAAATTTCAAAGGGCACTTGTCCTTCTAAAAAAACAAACACAGCTGAGCCCAGTTAGAGGGCGCGGCCCAGGACCCTGAAGTCAGCTAATCCAGCTTCTTCCGGGAAAGTCACCTGAGGGCTACACCGCATGGTATCCCGGGACTTGAAGTTTCTCTTAGGCGCTCTCCCCTGACATCTTTTTGTAGTGTAGGAGGAGCTGGACTACAATTCCCAGAGGGCCAAGCGGCAGCAACAGGGTTCCCGCACTCCCTCAGCGGCTGGGCGGCTAGTTTAAGTTGCCATAGCGGCGAGTCTGGGGAAGAGTAGAGTCGGTTGCGTCGCAGTATTTGGACAGTTGCACCTTCTGGGTCACAGGTGGCGACGGGAGCCTGATTTAGCCTCTGTAATGATCGAGCACTAAGGACCTGGGGTCGCCCTCTGTCTCAGGTACCGACCCTCACTTCCCACTCTGGCCGTGGAGCTTTTGGGGGGGGTTCCACTTTCTGTTTGTCCATGGCTGGGGACCCTGGAGTTATGGGATGGGACCGTGGATGGGCCAGCTGGGTGGGGAAGGTGTACCTGCCTCTCCAGGCCTCCCTCCTTCAAGGTCCTGGCATGTCTGCCCTTGAACCTGGGCTGCGTGTGCTGCCCTGCGGAGCGCTTGTCCCGCCGCTGTCATCTGCCGGCTAGACGGGCTCACTCACACTGCGGGTCTTGCAGAGAACGGGGTGGCGGGCTGGCCCTTCCAGGGCCGTGGCTCCGTTTCCTCGCAGTGATAGAAAAGTTGGCTAGCCTGGGACACGCTGTGTTAGGGACCTGTTTAGAGTTGCCTGCAACCTCGGCTGTTAGCCATCTCTTAGATTATGTCTATAACGAGCCACAGCTGCGTCCTCTAGCGGCTTCATGGCCCGAGTGTGTCTTAGGCGGTCGTCCGGTGAAACTGGATACTCCATCCTTTGTAGTAATGATCGGAGTTATTAGGTCAAGTATCTGGCACAGAGCCTGGCACAGGGCTACGACTTAGTTGTCTTATGCAACTATAATGTTGGGCACACGGGTCATTTTAAGTTCTGTGGAAACCATGATAAGAAAAAAAGTGAAAAGAAGCCACTTAACATAATTTTAATCTTTGTTTTTAGAAGGCCACATCAAAACTTAGCATGTAGTGAGTGCATTTCATTTTTAAACGAATGATAGCATCAAAAACGTTTGCAGCGAATGTCGATTTCAATTTCAGTGGCCAGATAATTGTCAAATTAAATAGCCACGGGGGCTAGGGGCTTCTCTCTCCCGTGACACATATTGGTAGCTTTCCATTGGTGTTCGGAAATTGGGGCCTGCCTGAGAGTGTTAATCACGAGTGGGTGGTTGATGCTTTGTGAGAAGAGTCGTGTCCTTGTAACACATCTTCTATGGATCAGACAGGCACGGACACAGGTGAACCTTCTCGTGCGACACAGGGGTGGATAGTCCTGTGTTCGTTTCCTCGGTTCTGGGATGTGCCATCGTGTGTGCATCAGGGAGTGCTCTGATGTTTTTGTAGTATTAGGAAGATGATTGACTTGCCAGGGTGTCTTAGTTCCTTGGTTTGATTTGTCTGCAGGTGCTCTGGGGAAAGCGTAGGGGCCGCCTGAGCTCACCCGCTTGACTAGGCCTGTTGCCCCGCACCCCATGAAGAAATGATAGGAGGCAGACATATGTGCCAGCAAAGAGCACTGAGCTCAGAGGAGAGCGGCACGGAGTTTTGGGAGTGTACTTTGTAAGTATGCCATCTCCCCAAGTTTCACATTTATGGTGGAAAAGACTATTCAACAAATAGATTTCTTGGAGTCAAGAAGCTTTCTAGTATGCCATGTGAAAGAACAGTGGTGTGGTGATGTGTTGCCTCATTAAAAAATTCAGGTGAATAAATTAGGTTCATCAAACTAGATTCACTTAATTGAGGTGCTTTAGAGGAAGCAATAATGAGGTGCCGGTTACTATTAGACTATTTTGTTTGAATATTTATTTATTCAAGGTACAGTTACAAAAACAGGAAAGACACAGCGGGAGAAAGAGCAGGCACCTCCATCTTCTGGGTGACTGGCTAGCTGGCCGCAGCCTCCAGGGCTGGGCTGGCTAGAGGCAGGAGTCAGAAGCTGGATCAGGAGCTGGAGTACCTGGACCATCTTGCACTGCTTCCCCCAGCATGTCAGCAGGGAGCTGGATTGCAGTGGAGCAGCTGGGGTTCCCACTGGCGACCCTTTGGGATGCCAGCGGGAGGCACCTTCAGCCACTGTGGCACCATGCTGGTCTTGAGGACCACTTTTGTCTCATTGCTCCAGTAGACACCTGTTACAGGTGTTGTGTATAATTCTTGCGTCCTGCTCGGCTCCTTTTGGCAAAGGAGGCAGTTGAGACTGAGACACGTTACTTGATTTGCTTGGGAATTCTGAAAATTTAAATTTTTTAATCTTAAATTTAAAAATATCATTTTCATTTTATTTGAAAAACAGACACACAGAAGAGAAAGACGGAGAGATCTGTTTGCTGGTTCGTTCCTTAAGTATCTGCAACAGCAAGGGTGAGACAGCCGGGCTGGGCCGGGCCAGAGCCTGGGGCCCCAGAATTCCATGTGCAGCTAGCTGTCTTCCCAGCTGGATTGAAAGCAGAGGAGCCTGTGCCACACACAGGCCCTGTGACAGGTGCTGTGCGATGCTTAACGCCACAGCCTGTCCCCTAAAGGGGGGTTGGTGTCACCCACTGCCGGAGGGCCTCATTGCTATTTCTAATTGGTGTGTGTGTGTGTGTGTGTGTGTGTGTGTGTGTTTTAATCCAAAATATGGTTGAGTCATTGAGTAAGAGCAAGTTACAGTTTGTGACTTTTAGAAAATGAAAATGAACTGTTATCAAATTGTAACACATTTAAAACTTTATTTTTTTATCATTTTGTGTTGCATATTGATACAGTACTTACATGTACAGCAAAGATGGTTGGAATATTGAAATACCCTGTGGTATACGGAATTCTCAGAAAGTGTTAGATCTTGGATGGTCTAATGGAATAATAAGACCTAAACATATTTTGAAATAATTTACAAAATATGTAAAACTACGTACAATATGTAACATAAGTTAATAATTTATATTATATGAACATATATGTAACTAATATAAAAAATCTGTAGTAGATTTGCTGTTAGCCTCATGATAATGTCACTGGGTTTATTCCGCTAGGAAATGACTTTAGTATATGATGGGACTTCAGAAAGTTGTTGGAAAATGGAATTAAAAGATGGGTTTATCTTAGTAGAAGAAATTATTGAAATTAATGTTTTCATAATACTGCATTTCCGATGAGCTTTCTCATGTTCCTTGGGGCATTGTTACTGTTCTGAGATGTTTCATCTTTCTTATAACCTGTCAGCAAACTTTGTTTCTTTTACCCTCTGTAGAGAAAGTAGTTCGGTGATTAGATATGTTTCAAGTGTTCTTTATTGATATACTTTTCTCTTAGTTTATCTTAAAAGATGGATTTATTTGAAAGGCAGAGTTAGAGAAAAAAGAAAGATCCACCATCTACTGGTTCATTCTCCAAGTGTCCAGAGTGGCTGCAGCCGGGCTGGTGTGAAGCTGGGAGCTTCTCCCTGTGGCTGCAGGGCCTCGGTGCTGGGCCATCCCCCGCTGCTTGCCCAGGCACATGGGCAGTCAACACCAGCCCCCGAGGTCTTCTGTTGTCTTTTTCACTCCCAAATGGCCTTAACAGCTAGGCTGGGACATTCGGAAGCCTGGAGCCTAGAACTCCATCCGGGTCTCCCAGGACGGTGTAGAGACGCAAGCATTTGGCTTGTCTTCCAGTGCTTTCCCAAACACATCGGTAGAAAACTGGGTTAAAATTAGAGCAGTCAAGACTCAAACCAGTTCCTGCAAGGGATGCTGGTGCCCCAGGTTGTGGCTTAACTTGCTGTGCCAAAATAGTGGTGTAAATTTTTACTTGTATAAATAATTGTAAAATGAAAAAAAAGATTGTACCATGAAATTATTAAAAAAATTTTTTTTTTCTATTGGAAAGGCTGGTTATACAGAGAGGAAGAGCTTCCGTCTGCTGATTCACTCAAGTGGCCGCAATGGCCAGAGCTGAGCTGATCCGAGTCAGGAGCCAGGAACTTCTTCCAGGTCTCCCATGTGGGTGCAGGGTCCCAAGGCTTTGGGCTGCCCTCAACTGCTTTCCCAGGCCGCCAGCAGGGAGCTGGATGGGAAGTGGGGCCACCATGATTAGAACCGACACCCATATGGGATCCCGGCACGTGCAAGGCGAGGTCTTTAGCCACTAGGCTACTGTGCTGGGCCCTACAATGAAATTCTTATACCTACTTGAATGCAAAAGGTATACTTATATATCTTTTGTTTTTCTAGGTTAATATTCATAAAAGTGGAATTCCCGAGATCAAAGGTGTGCATATTAATTAGTTTTGGTTGTATTGTCAGAGTGTGCCCTGGAAAAGCCGCTTCAGTTTTTATGTTCATACCCTTATGACAAAGCAGGCATTTGGCAGCCCTGTCATAGGAGCTTTTTTCCATCTGTGCAAAACAGATAAACAGGAATATTATTTTATGGTTTTAATTGGCGGTTCTCTGGAGAAGTATGTGTTTGCTGGGGCCATTTGTGCCTGTTAAATGCCTGTTAATCTGTGCTTTGTGCCTTTTGCGACTGCCTCGCTCTTTACTGATGAATCCTTGGATTCCCATACACTGCAACTTTTTTCCTTGATGTTTTCAACCTTGTTTTATCTTTGTGAAAAAAAGTATTCATGATTCTAAAAGGTGCATTAAGCCTTTATCAGAGACGTACATCTCTGAAATTTGTAGAGCCCTTAGCGTAGATCTGTGTCTGGTCGAGTCTTGGAGTGTTTGTGTGTTGAGAGTATACTTGTGGTTATTTAGTTGATGAATATTCAAAAGGCTTTGGTGTGTCCCAGCCCTTGCTTAGCCTTGGTTTTGTGGGAATTTGGCCAAGTACAACACCGAGTGGACACTGATCCTATGCCCCCATCTACTCCACTTTCCAACACTAAGATCTCAACTTCTGTTAAGTTTTAATTTTTTTATTGAGACTTTTTAAAAAATCCAATATCCTAGTTTCTTCCATCTGTCAAACTTGTCCTATCTGTCAAGAGCATAATCTTGATCTGAAAGATCTTGACCTGGCTCCATCTGGATTTTGTCTGATTGTTGGTTTCCTACATATAATACTCTTCCAGGTCTTTGTGTCTCATCAAGGATGGCGACATATTTCATCTCTTTTCCTGATGACGGTTCAGTGGGTGATGAATGATTTGGGTTTAAGTATCTCTGCCTCATTACGTGGGTTATTTTATTCACCAGTCTAACAGAACTGATTGATGGACTGCATGATTTTAGTGTTACACAGTTTTGAAATGAAGTTACAGAAGAGCACTGATAAAAAGAGGACGGACAGATGGATTGTTTGTACATGCTGACGTTTGCTGGCCTGGTAACTTTTTCACTTGCATGGGAAGGCAGAGCTCTCATGTTTTACAGCTATTGGAACATTTAGAAATGCATTCTAAAATTTGACCTTGGTTAATGATTAAGCTTAAAATACACCCCCTGTGGGTGCTGCAAGCACCAGCCTCGTCACCTTGAGCGTGTTTGAGGACAGCCGGCGTGGACAGGGACTGCAGAGGCGCTTGGAGGCCGTAGGAGCAACTGCATACTAAACATGACTAGCCGGCCTCTGTGAGATACCATCCCCATGCCGGGTGCTTATCTTTTATGGAACAGCTTGCAAATCCTAATTGTTTTAAACTGACTCTGAGGAAAAGGGATTTGAGAATCAATAAATTATGGCTCTCATACATACAAATGTGCATGATTATAATGAAGAAAATCTGGTGGTTCTTTAGGTCAAATGACAAAAGAGATGGACTTGAGTTTGTAAGGCTTATTGCCAATCCTCTTACTGCAGGCTCTGAATGCAGCTTTAGTCTCTCTGGTCCCAGGGTTCAGGTTTGCGGAAGAGCGTTTGTTTCTTGCCGGGGAGGTCCTCAGCGGGAGCGAATTGATCAGACTTCGTTACTTTCTCCATTGGCTGTGTGTCTTCTTTATCGGGTTCATTAAGGCGGAAGCAACAATATTTATGTCTTTAACTACTGGTGTGTTGGGAGCAGCTAAATAAACGAGTCGATGAATCAGGGCACCTGCTTTTCAGGCGCAGAGCTTTTCTGAGATTCGGAGGACTCTCGGTCAAGGTCATCGCTCCAGCCCTGTCCTAGGGTGTGAGAAAGCCCGCAGCAGGAGCAGTGTGCTGTCTTGCCAGGATGCGGCTTGGGCAGTGGTAGGAGCGGTGAGCTGCACGCGGTGACTGACCGCTTTTTCTCTAGTTGAAAGAAAGAACTTTCTGACCTTCAACTTGGATTACAGTTTCTTTAAATTATTTTTCAACAGTGTAGTCATTATTCATTCACATTTAGATATTCTTTCATTTCTTTGATCAAGTGTCAAGCTAATTTTTTTTTTTACAAAGAGAATGCATTTTTCATTTAGTTCAATTTTTTTAATTGATAAAAATAATGATGGAACACTCCCATTAACATACATAGTTTTTCTATTGGACTTAATTCTTCTTTGGGCTTTGATTTATTTATCTTTATTGGAAAGGCAGATATGTTGAGAGGAGGAGGAGAGACAGAGAGGAAGATTCCATCCTCTGGTTTATGCCCCAACTGGCCGCAACTGAGCCGATCTGAAGCCAGGAACAAGGAGCTTGTTTTGTGTCTCCCATGTGGGTTCAGGGTCCCAAGGCTTTTGGGCTGTCCTTGACTACTTTACCAGGCCACAAGCAGGGAGCTAGATGGAAAGCAGGGTCGCTGGGACCCGAACCAGTGACCATATGGGATTCTGGCACATGCACAGAGAGGATTTTAGGCTACTGCGCTGGGCCCCTGGGCTTTCAATTGTAATATAGATGATGTCATTCCTCATGAACTGTTTTGAATTTATTTTCATAGTACAGTTTGGTTGCATATGCAATGTAAGCATACATAAACATATTTTTACATCCTTTTAAAAAAGATTTATTTCTCTGAAAGACAAAGTGCTAGGGTTGGAGAGAGGAAAACTGGGAAGGAAGGGGAGAGGGAGGGCTGGGGGGGAGGGAGAATGAGCGAGAGCTTCATCTCTCCTGTGTGGGATCACTCCTCCAGTGGCTGCTGAGGGTCAGCAGTTGGAACTGGTCCAGGCAAATTTGTAAGACAGGAACTCCATCCTGGTCTCTTTCATGGGTGCCAGGGGCCCGGCCACCTGCAACATCCTCTGCTGCATTCTCAGGCACGTTAGCCGGGAGCTGGCGCGGGAGCAGGGCAGCAGGGCAGCCCGGAGCTGGCGCGGGAGCAGGGCAGCCGGGAGCTGGAGCTGGTGCGGGAGCAGGGCAGCAGGGCAGCCGGGAGCTGGTGTGGGAGCAGAGCAGCCGGGATGTGAAATGGTGTTTCGCAGTGGAGCCCTGATGTTGCAAGTGGAGGCTTAACTCTGTGTCACATGCTGCTGGATGGTCCTTACCTAGTACTTCAATGTTTCAGTATATTCCCACATTTCTGGTGTTCTAATATGGCCTTCAGCAAAATGCCAGAACATAAATCACAACAAAAATTTCTCTTTTAGCTTATCAGCTGACGAGTCCTGCAGTTTTGCCGGCTGGTATTCTTGATCATGGGTGCAAGCTGCTGGCTTTCTGAACCCGCATCTTCAGCTCGTTGGTCACATGGTTTCTATCTGAACGGATGTCGAGAGGATAATGAGGAGGGCAGGTAGTGGCCAGAAAACACTGAGTACAGAGCCTTTATTTAAACCGTTCTTCCAGCTTGTGAGCCTGTTCACCTGCGTTCGCCCTTCTCTGTGAGGGGTCTCTGGATTTGTTGACCTTCCTGCCACGTGTGGCTTGTATTGTCCTTCTTATACGTGAATACGGACCCGTCCTAAGTCACTGTGAGCCTGGGGTGTCTGCACAACTGCATCAGCTGCAGGAGCTGGAACATCCTCTGTTGTGAGAAGTAAGAGAAATGAGTAACTGGAGACCGTGTGTGCATGCGCTGTGAACCTCACACACGAAAGGATGATTTTTATTAAAAGTGTGTAATCCTAGTGGAGGTGTGTTAGCGGTCATTTTTCATGCCGAGGGATGTGGTGTTTGGAGATCATTTTAATGTTATTCATAATTTATAGAATACTTCTAAGATTATCTGATTTAAACTCAGATACCTAGTACCTTTGGTTAATAGTACTTGTCACTTGATTGTCATGTGTGCTCCATGCAAAGGGTTTGAGGTGTGTGTGCCTGTGGCAAAAGCACAAATACATGAACTGGAGAGTCAGACGTGAAATCACGGGAAGATGGGGCAGCAATAGTTTGGGAAAGAGGTAGAGTAGAAAGGTATTAGAACTATTACAATGTTCTAAGCATTTTATTATAAAATATTAGACATACTAATGTTGGAATGATAATCTCATTGGTAGATACACATATGTGTCTTATTAAATTCATCTTTTTATTGTGTTTGAAATATTTTTTTCCGAGTTACTGGAAAGAATGAGGACTGGTGTTGTGGCACTGTGGATTAAGCTGCTGCTTGTAGCGTATGCCTGCCAGCTCCATTCAGCTCCCTGCTAAAGTGCCTGGAAAAGCAGCTGAGGATGGTCTAAGTGTTTGGGCCCCTGCATGCGTGTCGGAGACCCAGATGTAGTTCTATACTCCTGGACATCATTTAGGGATGAGCCAGCTGATAAAAGATTTGTCTAGCTCTGCCTCTGTCTGTAACTTGGCTTTTCAATTCAATAAACAACAATAAATCTTAAAGAATAAATCTAGTTACAAAGTTTTGTGAAACTCAAATTATCTATTGGTTGGAAAAGTCTGATATATCGTTTATATCCAATAAAATTATCCTGGATAACAAATTATTACAATTTTTTTACTCTTAGATAAATGAAGTTATACCAGAGAGTGTGTTCCGTGTTCTCCCAACAGCCTTTGTAAACATTGTCATTTTCTTCTGCTTGGTGATTTCGTAGTTTCAATTTGCTTCCTAGAGTTACCAATTGTTAAATTATGATTTGAAATGTGGAACTATTATTCTCTCTTATAGAAGAGATAAAAAGACCAGAGAAACAAAACCTCTTATCTTTCTTGGCTTCAATTTACTTTCCACAATTGCTAACTGTTAAATTATGAGTTAAAATATGAAATTATTATTCTCCTTTACATAAGAGATAAAAGGAATAGAGACATAAAATTCTCTTATCTGGTTTGTTTCATTTTCAGAGGCCTTTGTTACCTGGAGCATTTATGTCATTTGGTCCCCCCCCGCCGTGCCTGATTAAAAGTTCATATTATTACTTTATCTTTGGTTTTTCTCTATGTTTTAATGCTGACATAAATGAGAAGGAGACTAGACACATGTAGACCATGGCCTGCTGCTGGTTTTAGCAATTTTTATTCACCGTTAAGACTCTGTACCCAGTACGGAGCAGGTGGTAGGCACAGTGAGGCCCCGGAGGCGGAGGAGGCTGAGGGGAGCCCAGGTCTGCTACTTAGAGTTGATCGTACTATTTGATAGCTCGTAAATTAGGGGCTAGTGGTGTTCACTGCAGTATGCTTTTTTGAGAATTATATATGTTGTCTTTAGAAACCTAAACTGCCTCACGTACCAGGTTCTCAGAAAATGTTGCTTCCCCCCCCACTTGCTTCTAGTGATCAGAAAGTGCTGGAAAATATTTTAGTATGCGAGTAATTTCTCTTTAGTTGTATACTTTGAACCTTCTCAGGTGTAACCGGAATATAGGCCCACGAAGTCTAGAATACCGTGTCATTAAAGAAAAACTTCATCACACTGCAATTAGGGAGCTAGAAAACAGAATGCTCATATAGATTTTAGGAAGCTGGTAACAGTGTGAAAGCTACTTCCACAACAAGCGCACAAGTTACTGGAAGTTACTCAGTAGATGTTTACCTGTGGTTCGCAATGTTCTCTCTGATGTGTCTTTGTTCTTAGATGTTTCAATTTTTATAAAATTTTTCTGACACTTTTGAGATTTTCTTGCATTAAGTATTTTCTTAGGCATTAAAGAACAACTAAGGTAAAGATGAGAAAAAAGGGCTTAGAGAAATTTCTACTGCTGAAATTACATCCAGATGATTTGCCTGTCTGTTTTGGTAGCAATCTTAAAGCTGCTCCCTTCTCCCATAACAGTTATGATAGGATCTGTGCCTGTCTTAGAACATTTCATTGAATTCTCTGTTTACTTGAAATAAAGGTGCATGAGGTTTCTTGTTGAAGAGAGGGCTCTCATTGTAGGTACCGTGCTGTATTTTTAAAGATTCATGTTTTTGGAGCTTCTTCGAGAGGACTTGAGGCTAACGGCAGGAGACCTGGGGATGCTGACTTTAGTGTGTGACTGTGTTTGCCTTATCCACTTTCCAGTTTTGTTGGTAGGCTTCAGATGCTCTATTTGAAAGTATGTTTAAAATGAGACATTGGACAAGTCTAAGGAATGATTATTTGAGGCTCTACACATGACTAAAATTATATCTGAAGATTTATTCTCTTGAAACAAAAAACAAAAGAGGGAGAAGTACACAGGAAGAAACTTTGTGTATTTCTAATGTATTTCTGTAGAAATTACGGTAAGCTGAAGAATGAACATAATAAATACTTCAAGAGATCAGACAGTTAAGCATGTCTTGCTTCCATGCTTTGTAACGTGTGGCTGACTTTGATCTGAATTTATTGTTGAGGGTTTGTGTACACCGATGGCAGAATCATCCAGCGATTCAGACCGCTTCTTCTGTCGTGAGCGACTGAGTAGATGGGCTGCCAGGTCAACTCACAAGGGAGTTCGAGGTCATCCTGCGGTAGACGTTACCGAGAAGGTCCACAGCATAACAAGCACGTTACAGGTTAGTGACCCAGTGATGGCCTTCCGCAGGTCGTCAGTAGCTCGTGCTGGCTCAGACAGGATACTCACCTCTCACTCTTGCCTTAGCCTGGATAAGCATGGATTTGCATTTCTTTGGTTACTTTGAGACTATGTGCTAGATACAAAGAGGATGGTTTCTGGCAGAAAAGGCATATTTTGTTTTTAAAAATTGGGAGGGGGGTGGGCATTTGGCATGAGATGCGTCCCTTACGAGGTCCCTGGCATGCTCTTGAACACCGCCTCTGACTCCACCTTCCACTAAAGCATCCCATCGGAGGGGGTCTCCACCACTCCCATGGGAGATCCAAATTGAATTCCTGGCTCCTGGCTTTGGCCTGGCTAAGTCTTCCCCTAACTGTGGCAGAAATTTAGGGGGGAAAAAAATCAGTGAATGGTAGATGTATCTCTGCCTTACTGAAGAGACATTCTTTTTGAATGATTTGAATTAATGTAATTGGATGTTTGGATGATGAATCTTCACAATTTTAAACTGATGAAGCATATTAGTAAGTAGATAGGTTTGAAAGAAATGTTTCCATTTCTCAAGGAAAATCCATCAAGTTTGGGTGAGAACATTTTCAGTGAATTCAGAGCTCAATTTGTTGTTTATAGTTAAAAATTAAAGGACACTTTCTTCTTTCTCCATGAAGTTCTGAGCTGAAGTTGTGATTGACATGGCTTTACTCCAGAGGGCTTGCTGCTTCGCGCACAGTCCCCCGAACTTGCTCTTTCAGGACCCATTCATTTTGTATAAAATGGGTATGAATTAGTAGAGTCACACAAACTAGATCGTGATGATTCTTTCCAACTTATGATCCAGCTGCCAACTTATTATGGAACCTGGGATAAAGATGCAAAGTATGTGGGTTGGATCTCACACAAGTAAGCTGCAGATAAATTGCTCTTTCACTTGTATTAAGGTTGACCTAATATTTTGGAAGTATGTTGACATGTAAGAGAATTACGATAGAAATTGGATCTGTTGTGAATGTTTGAATTGGCTGTTTGCCATACTGCCAGTACTGACTGGGGGAAGCAGTGTTTGAGATAAGTAATCATTAGTGAATTTTCTTCCTCAAGGATACCAGTCGGAACCTGCGACAAGTGGACCAGATGCTTGGACGATACCGAGAATATAGTAACGAACAGGCGGGTGCGATAGAACAAGTGAGACCATTTCTATACTTTTTTCTTGCCTATCCTTTTTGGATTACAGGTTTTTTGGGAGTGTGCATATGAAATAATGAGATAATTGTTGCTTTTACTGTTTTAGTGCATTGTAATTTAAAATTAGAGTAGTTTATCAGAGAGATTGCTCACTAGTTTGTGTAGATTAGATTCTATTGAATTTAAAGCCTGGGACCAAACAATTCAGGTCGTGAATTAGAGACTAATTAAATTTGGCAATGGATACCCTCCTGGGGAGATAAGGATTTCAAGGATGATTTACTTTGAAGTGATATGTGCTCATAGTTTTTAAAAATAAAGTTTTTCTCACTTCCGATCTGGAGATAGCAATTTTGGCAATTTCTTCCCTCTTGCAAACATGTTCTGTGCATATACAAACATATTAGTTTGGCTGCTTTAAAGATAGGTTATTATATAGTATGAGTTTGGCTACTTTTTTCCTTTAATTATGTCATTTTCCATAGGACTCTGTGTGGCTCTACTGCATTTTTTTGAACAGTATATATATATCCTTTTGTATCTTTATATAATATAGGATGGATATATTTGTTTTTTTCTTGGTACAAACAATGTAGCATTGTGAATTTTTGTGCATATATATAATCCTGAAAGATTATTGGAAGTAGAATTGCTGGTTTAAAAGATACATAAAATGGAAAGTTTGTTATGTGTTTCAAAGCTAACCTTTCAAGGATTTGGCAGTTTTGTGTACCCTTTTTAGGGATGTCTGAAGATACTACAGAATTCTGGAAGGAATCGTCAATTTCTGTATTACTGTGTTGATAATTCTATTTTTCCTTTCTTTGGAATTTACTCATCTTCAGTAAACTCTTGGAAAACCAGTTAAATGTGTTCTTTCATGAGGAAGGCAATTGGCATAGTGGCTTAGGACCCTGTATCCCATACTGCAGTTCCTGGTTCAAGTCCCAGCCCTGCTTTCCATACCACTGTGCAGCTGGGAGACACCAGGTGGTGGCTTAGGTGATTGGATCCCTGTCACCCCTGTGGCAGGGCTGGATTGCATTCCTTCTTTTTTAAGATTTTTATTTGAAAGGCAGGTTTGCAAAGAGAAGCACAGAGAGAGAGAAAGAAAGAGAAAGCTAGAAAGAGAAGAGAGAGATATCTTCCATCCAGAGAGAGAGCGTGTAAGAAAGAGACCTTCTGCCCATTGATTGACTCTTGCTAAATAACTGCAATGGCCAGTTCAGATCTGAGCACATCGGGAGCCAGGAGCCTGGAGGCACCTGTGTGAGTCCGAAGACCTGGACAATTCTCTGATCCTCTGCTGCTTCCCCAGGCCAGAAGCAGGGAGCTGGATCGGAAGTGGAGCAGCCAGGACATGAACTGGTGCCCATATGGGATGCTGGTGCCACAGGTAGAAACTAGCCTGCTATGCCAGCCCCAGATCCGAATCTTGGCTTCTGTTTTCAGGTTGCGCCAAGTTGGTTGTTGCCGCTATTTGAGAAGTTAAGCAGTCAGTGTAAACTCTGCTTATCTTCTCTCTGTTTTTAAAAATTTACTTTGCTTGAAAAAAAAACAGGGAGACAGAGCTGTGGAGGAGGGAAAAGGGAGAAGAGAAGGCTAAGAGTGAAGGAGGATGAGAGGGAGAGAGAGAAGACGACAAAGATGAAGAGGTCTTCTGTTGGCTGGTTTACTCAAATACCAAAGTGGGTGGCCGAGACCCAAGTGCTTCAGTCATCACCTGCTTGTTCCCAGGATGTGTGCTAGCAGGAAATCGGATTGAACTGGAGTCAGGCCTTTAGCCAAGCTGTCTGAGAGGGGCTGTGGCATCTAAGGCCTGCTGCACCAATGCCTGCTCCTTTCTGTCCTGCAAGTAAAAATAAAGAAAGTAGTTCCTTCATGATTCCAAAGCTACTTCACCAAGTTTGATATTAGCTCCTACTTTATGTCAGCAAACTTCCTTTAAGTCAGACATCTGGGGAATGAACTTACACAGTAATTCCTGTAGAGAGAAGTATTTTACAACACAAGGCATGTCTCCTTGTGGCATTGTATTTCCCTGAAGCAGAGGGAAGTCTGCATGTATAGTTATTGTCCGTTTCTCATTTTGCCTTCATTGTAACCTAATTTTATTAGATGATCTATTTTTTTAGTTGTTCTTGATACTTTTTGTTAAATTATACCCTAGTTTTATATCTATTTACTATTGCTTGGAAACCTTACCTTCCTAGGAGCTGGGTTTCTAAGGAACTGGTTCGGAACTGGCCGTTATGAACATTGGAAAGTCATTTTAAAACTTGGTATCTGTCAGTTATACTTCAATAAAGTTGCAGAAAAAAAGTACTGTTCTTAGATAAGAGCTGCTTAGCACACTGTTTTAAAGAGTTAGGAAACCTCGGGGGAAGCACAGTGTGGCTACTGAGGACTGGGTAAATACACTGCTTTTGTAAGGCTTTGGTATGCCTGAATTTCATTACCTTCATTTAGTTGAATAACACCCGTCCTTAAGCAATGCAGGTCAAACTTCAGCTTTCACAGTGTAAATTACTATAAGTAATTACGTAGACCACAAACTTTGCTGCTAGCTGTTTAGGCCTCACATGACTGTGTAAACCCCAATCTCTACCTGTTTGGTCATAGTGAAATGAGCAGTTTCTAACTTCTTCTTTTCTTAGTAATAATAATAAATACGTGTAGTATTTACAAAACAAAGCCTTAGTTTCAGGGTAACAGTATCGTTCATCACAGAACGTTAAGGTTAAGGGGCTGATGCTGTGGTGTAGTGGGTAAAGCTGCCTCCTGCTATGCCAGCATCCCATGTTGGTGCCAGTTCTAGACCCAGCTACTCCACTTCGTGCTTCCTGGGAAAAGCAGCAGATGGTGACGCCATGGTCACTCACATGGGAGACTCGGATGGAGCTCCTGACTGCTAGTTTGAACCCTGCCCAGTAGCCTGAACATTTGGCCATTTGGGGAGTGAGTGAACTAGAGGATTGGTCTTTTCTCTGTTTCTCCTTCTCTCTGTAACTCTTTCAGATTAAATTTAAAAAAATGTTATGTGGTAGTGTGTATATGTGTGTCTGTATGTGTACGTAAAAATCCATTTTATTCACCAACTTTTAGTTACAGTTTAGGATTTAGTAGCTAATAAGTTCATATAAAAAAGGGTGTTTGCAAGTTCTTCCTTTGGCGTTGGTGGATGAGTTTAATCTGGATCAACTGTCCTGCAGAGAGCAACTGGAAAGGTGGAAAAATGCAAAAATGTGATGTTATGAACACATCAGGGGATGACTGAGACAGGCCTTTTGTAGACAGGAGCTGTAAAGAAAAGGAAATCCAGAGGGCTAGCCCTGCATTTGGCACTTTTTCCTCTGAGATGTTGAGATTCCATGGGATGGCTGAGAATCGGACAGGATAGCGTCAGAGCTTATGCTTGAAGTCAGGAGTCCAGATGTTCTCAAACGGGACTCCTGGCTGCTGCTCGGCTTAGCTCCTGCTACTGTGGGCATTTGGGCAGTGAACCAGCGATGGAAGATCTTCACTCTGTAAATCTTTTCAAATAAAAGCAGATCACTAAAAAAATAGTAATAAAAAACAGCAAATCTAAAAAGGTGATAACCTTAGAAGAGAAGCAATAGAGAGAAATGAAAGCTGACTTTGTTTTCAGAAAGTTACTGAAACTAGACTTGGTTTGAAAGATGTCAAACAGGAAAGTTCTATTCTTGTTCTGGCAGTAATTCCTGTGGTCTGCATTCCTCACACTGGTGGTCTTTTCCCCATGTGTACAACTGGATTGAAGTCCATTAGTTTTCATGTTATTTAATTTTATTTTATTCTGGCCATTTTGTTATAAATATGTGCAATGCTGTTTTGTGTTTACTAGATAAAACCTCTGGTATGTGTATGTTACTCATATGTAAATTACCCTCGAGGATTTCCCTGCTTGATTCTCAGCTCTGTTTTGCAGATTCACAGACTAGGTTCTAAAGGTAGCAAATGATTCGCATGTGTTTTGCATGTATCTTGACATGGGGAAGCAAAGGACAGAAGGATATAGAAATATTAGGCTGAATTTTGTAATAGAAATATGAAAAACAGAGGTAGATTGCTGAAATTGTAGCTCCGGCTCTTGACCCGGATTGGTTTGGTTTGGTTCTGTAGAAGAGCTGAGTTCAAGCAGCCAATGTGAGAAGATGTGCTGCATTTGGGATGTGCGTTGTTCCAGCTGTACTGCTGGTTAACAGGCTGCTTTATTCACACTTCCCTGTCCCATCCAGCAGGACAGTCAACAGGGGTCGCAACCACCTAGGAGAGATTGGGGGACAAGAGACACGAAGAATGGACAGTACACGGCTCTTGACACTTCCCCACGAGCACCGACGTGGCGTGTCGTGCTTAAATGGTGTTCTTCCTTTTAGCCCTTGGAAGAATTTAGTCAAGCCTTCTGCATAAGTTGTTTTGTGTTGACATTGTATTTTAAGAGCTCTAGACACCTTGCCATATGCTTCACTGCTTTGCATTTTCAATAATTTCTTTTTGATTATTCCTGCATAAAATTCAGACCTGAACCTCCTAGCTCTTCGGACTATATGGATTTTCCTTATTTTCTCGGATTTTAGTTGAATCCTGATCTCTGATCTCTAACTTTACAACTCTATTATTCTCTATATTTAACGTGTTTTTTAGAAGCTATCTCTTTAGGTCTTAAAAGGTATTTTCTTGTGTTTCTGCTGTCTGATTCCTTAAAATCTGAGGGCGTGGTTTGGACAACTATATTCGTGCTATAAACTGGCAGTCAGATCGTCTGGCTGTGTGTACTTAACAACCCATTTTTCTGGGATTTGAGGTCTTTGAATCATAAGCGGGATCTTCTGATAACAGGCAGTGGACTCTGGGTTTTTAGTAGCGGCAAGGACAGCTGTTCTGTTTCCTGTTTGTTGCTATAGCTAGGATTTCTGAAGGAGAAAGGCTCTGTCTTCCTTTCCTTTTCTGCTTGGTATCTCTACATAGGCGCTGCTTCTAGGAGATGTTTTGGACTGCTTTTGTAAGCCCATAGAAAGTGGTGATCTTTACCAAATTCTGGCCATAGAAATATGGAGTAGGTATTGACAGATGCTGTTAAGATCCGCTGGTAGCATTGCTTCTTAACATATTTATGTTTACTATTTTGAGATTCCCTAGCGTAGTTGAGTATAATCTCATTTATGAATTTTCTTTAGAATGCCAGATATTTCAGAAATAGCTTATCATGTGTATTCTATTTGTATTTGGGAGTTGTTTAAAAAGAGTAACTCTCCCTTCATTCTATTCTTGAACCTAGCTAAAAGAAAGCTTGGAACATTCGATAGGTCAACTACGAAGTCAACGTTTATTCAGAAACTCAGGAGGGAGAAGTTTCTCCGTTCCGAGTCTGAGTGCCAGTGAGTTTGATGACGACATTGTGACAGGTAAGCCCTTCAAATGCAGGGCATGTTGAATGCATTTTCTCCTTGGAGACGTACAGCCCTACCTCATGTTTGCATCAGGTGTTACAATGTACTTCTGTTAAGGATTTTACAGCACGTGGTTGAGATATTTGAAAGGATCTTTTGGATCTTTAGTTCTGCTTTTCTCATACTTTGTAGACTACCTTTTTTTTATTGCTGTAGGTCGTGCTGATCGTGACTAGAAATTGTACACTGCCATCTGTTCTTGCTGTGTAGCTTGCTGAAATTTTGGCACACTGACAAGATTTTAGGTTAATTGTTATTTGAAACTTTGCTTTTTATTAGTATTTTTTATGTTTTAGTCATGAAGCTTTAATAATTTATAATTATTTATATATAAGAAAATATTGTATTGCTTTCTTAGAAAGTATAGCAGATTTGAACTTTTGAATGCTCTGTTTCCAGACTATCCCCTTTTAAAAAATCTGCTTAAAGAAAATTTTTGCCAATTTTGTGGGACTTTATGGATGCAGCGAGATCCTTAGGAAATAGTCCGGGTTAAGGGCATGTGTGCTGGCGATGAGTGATAAATAGTGATGAGTGCTGTGCGTTTGTTTTAGAACATTTTAGAATGTTTTGTTCTCATGCAATTTTTTGAAAGGAATTTTTTTAATGCATTCGATTCTTGATGTTCATGTAATGTTTTAATCCTCTTCCTTTTGTTTCAATTGTGAAGAGAGCCATCACGTTTCACCTACCTCACCTCTCAAGGACTATGGGGACTCCCAGGGCATTAAACGAATTAGATCTAAGACCGGCGTCCGGTTTGTTCAGCAGCCTGGAGACATGGCCCAGGTACCTGTGCCATTCTGTGATTTGTGCGCAGCCTTTCCTTACGTTTCTGTCTAAATTACGAACACTTGATCCTAATGGCTATAGTTAACTTAGAGTGTGATCATTTGTAACTGACTTCTGGTCTCTCTCTCCCTTTCTTTTATTAAAAAAGCAATACTATTATTTAAATGTATGCATTTCTATCATACATTGATTTCAAATTTTGTGTGTGTGGGATTACATGTTGCAGAACAATTAACAGTGAATTTGGACATGATTGGCTTCCTTCCCTGTTGAAGCGATTCCCTCTTCTCTAAGCCCAGTGACGTCAGCTGCTTTTTAGTTGTCTAAGCTTGGTTTGGTATGAAGCAGGCAGTCCTTGTGTAGTTGACCTGTTGTTTTTCCATCATTGGTAGTTTAATGGTTATTGAAATCAGTGGATGGAACCATTTATGGGGAGCAAGACATTTTGTACTAATGTGTTTAATGTACATGTGCCTTTGGCTTCTTTGAAATAGCCACAGAGCTAAAGGTTTCACTTTGTTATCTTAGATAGCTGCATGAGTTAGAAGAGGGCCAGGGGAAGTTTCTGACTCTACAGTTTTTGTTTTGATCATTTTAAGATTGGATCCCAAAGTTTATCTAAGATCTAGTGCATTAGAAAATGCCTTGTAAATTTTTGATTGCCTGTTTTTGTTGTTGTTGTTGTTGTTTTGTTTTGGTAAATGAAACTTGCCAGCATGGGCTGCATTATTATCGAGAACAGAGAAGTTTACCATCACTCACTTCTTTCTTTTTTTACTTAGTGCCTCTGTTGTTGGATCAGTGCTTATGCTTATCCTTGCCTTTTCAGTAAGTTTATGATCTTAATGGAAGCTAGGTGGTAATCAAATAAGCATATGAATAGTCAACTGTGAACTGAGATAGGTGCTCTGAAGGAGAGAAGCATGGGCACATGGGAGTATGTAGTTGAGGCAACTGCCCCATTTGCGAATAGCGACCTGAGTAAGGACTGAGCTGAGGTCTGAAAAGGGAGCCGGAGCTTCTTCAGCTAGAACAAAACAGCTGTGAGCAATTGAAAGGAGGCGCAGAGTCACGGGCGTGTGCGGAGGTGAGCTCAGGGGGAGCTGCAGGTGTGTGAGGAGGTGAGCTCGGGGGGAGCCACAGGTGTGTGAGGAGGTGAGCTCAGGGGGAGCTGCAGGTGTGTGAGGAGGTGAGCTCGGGGGGAGCTGCAGGTGTGTGAGGAGGTGAGCTGGGGGAGCCACAGGTGTGTGTGGAGGTGAGCTCAGGGGGAGCCTTAGAAGGAGCTGGTGGAAGTTTCTGCAGAAGATGACTCTGGCTGTGTGGAGAAGTGAAGTCACTGTGGCCAGAGGCTGATGGTATTACTGTATCATGGGTGTGTGAACTGATGATCGCTTGGATTAGGACAAATGGAGTCAGATTAAGAGGGTACATTGAAAAGCTGCTCAGTGAACTAAATTGAGGCTTCTCGAAGATCAGATAGCCATGTGGGAATGAGTGAAAAGAGTGTAGAAGGTAAATTCTAGGATTCTGGTTTACAAGACAGGAAAAAACATCCTAAGTGGATTGTTTACTGTTGATCTATATTATACCCACCATTTTTTGACTATTTTCTTAACGTTGCAATGAAAGTTTTTTTTTTCTTTCTTTTTTAACCCATTGCTCTCCATGTTAGATTTTGAGCTGCTTGTTTCCCGACATGGTAGGTGGCACTGATGCTTTGCTCCAGGTGTCTTTACTGAAATGAATGAATTTATTGTTTCTGCAACTATGTATAAACTGAGTATTTTAAGTTATAGCTTACACGTATATATATAGTGTATCTATCTATAATTAAAGGTACAGTAATGTTAGTGTATACCACTCAATAGAGCATCAGCTTGCCCTGAAGCCTCTGTTCCTTCTTCCTTAGGGCTGCCCACTAGCCTTGCCTTTAGAGTCCTCCTTCTTTAGCTTTTTTTTTAAAGGGAAAATAATTTTTACTACATACATTTTGTTTATTTTTGCCTGGTTTAAACTTTATGTAGCTGAAGTGGTACTGATGTAATTATTATGATTATTAGATATATTTATTGAATTCGAAAGAGTACAGGAAGAGACAGAGTGAGAGATCTTCCATCCACTAGTTCACTCCCGACATGGCCACAATAGCCAGAGTTGACTTTTATCTGAAGCCGGGAAGCAGGAGCTTCCTCCGGGTCTCCCACGTGGGTGCAGAGGCCCGAAGACTTGAGCTGTCCTCCTGTGCTTTCCCAAGCCATGAGCAGGGAAAAGGGATTGGGAAGTGGAGCGGCCAACGTGAACCGGCTTGTGTATGGAATGCCGGCACTGCGTGTGGAGGATTAGCAATCTGCTGCCACCACTTCAGCTGCAAATGTTACATTTTCAACCTCTGTCTTGGTTAAGGTAAAGGTAGATTTAATTGCTTTATTTCCAGGGAGAGATCTATCATGACTCATTTAGCTCTGTTGCATTCTGTGTGGGCTTCTGGCTTGTTTTTAGTGTTCTCATGATGGATAATGCAGCTTCGTGTTTTCTAGTATGTGGTTCCTAGTAGTGGTGGGGAGGAATTTCTTAGAAGCAGTTGGCAAATGAGCGTATGTGGGCTGATAAAAATATAGTGGTGTTAGAATGCAGCTGTGTTCATTTGTGCATGGCCACCTTTGTACTGCGGATGCAGGACTCGAGTAGTTGTGACGGAGGGGATATCTGTTACTGTGACTTCTACAAAAAGTGTTTGCTCACCCTTTCTTGAGGGTATGTGCTGGGGGTCAGATTACTTTCAAAGAAAGGCTTTTCTTTGAAAAAAGCAGATTTCTTTCTGAACAGATTTTTTTTTTTTTTTTACTAACGTTATAGAACTTGCTTATGTTGCAAAGGCCAAAATCTTATTCTGAACTTAAGTGTACCTTCTGGAAGAGCCTGATAGAACCTCGAATGAGCAGCTGTGTTTTTTCTCTCGGTAGCTTCACGCTTTCCATCAGTCCCTCCGAGACCTCAGCAGTGAGCAGGCTCGCCTTGGACAAGATTTCAACAGGGAACTCTCCCGAAGAAGCCGGTAAAAGCAGAATGGGATTGTCGTGGGAGACATGAATTATTAGAAGAATTAGCTGCTGTAATTGAGACATCCGTATAGATTTGAGAAACAGTGCTGTGTTTTCATGCAAGTGTCTTACAATGTATTACCAGGACAGTTTAAAACACTTTGGGTTTTAACTGTATCATAATGTAAAAGACAAATTTCATTCTTTAAAAGCTTTCACTGATATGATAGGATGCTGATGTTAATGATGTTGATACAGAGATAATTTTGTAACAAATTTTTTTTTTTTTTTGCAAATACATTGAAGAGAGGTAGAGAGAGTTAGAAATTGACTCTTGCCATTGTAGGTGGAATATATATATGTGTATAACGCGATATTTATCAAGGGACATGAGCCACTTTGGAATCAGATATGCCATAACCCTTAGTTATAATTGTTGCAAATTGGTGGTGAACATTTGTCCTCTCTTTAAAATTTTGTTGAACTTGAATAGCCCCCAATAACTATCACTTCATCTAAAACTTAGCCATTCATTTCATTTTCATCCTCAGAGGCAGGTGGCTTTCTTTTAGGGACTATACTTTTTAAGAAACAAATATTTTTGTACCTTCTTAAAAGGTATTTCTGTAGCAAAGTTATCTCTCCATGCAGCAAAGATTGGGAAAGTTCACTCGCCAAATCCAACTAAGCAAATCCGACTGTTCACCAGCATTCTCTATGCTGAAACAAAAAATGTCAAACTGTACGGGTTAAGTCTGTGAGTCTGAAACATAATGTGCATAATTTACCTTCGGTTGAGTTGGAAGGCAGGAAATTCTGTAATGGAAGTTTCTACTAATATTACTTCTAATTCTATTAACTCCTATTATTGAGTACCTATTTTGTGCCAGGTGGTTTTATTGATTTCTGGCATAACCCTATTGGGTATTCGTTTGGATTTCATTTTGTCTTAGAATCAGGAGTGGTTACACAGAAGCAAAGTAACTTATTAGAAATTAAATGAGAGGGATGTAATGGATTCAGAATTCACTCTTGGTCCGTGAAACCCCAAAGTCTGATCAAGATCATGTCCACACATAGCTGATAGGAATAAAACCATTCCAATTCCTAAATTGTGAACCACATTATTTAGCTATGTTATTTATCTTTTAGACTGGTAAGGCTTAATATTTTAAAGAGAGAAATAAAGAGAAACTCTAGAAAAAAAAAGAAAAGCAAAACTGTGATGTACTTGTGAGCTGATGAAAATGTAAGCATGATAAAATATGAGGGAAAATCATCGACTTTTAACTATGTAAAATTACACAAGGAAACAATGAAAATGCTAAAAATAGTAGTACATTATTCAGAACTGTACAGGAATGTGAACAAGTGAAATATTTCAGATATTTCAATGCTTATGATTGGAAACAATGAAGAAAAGCAGCACATGAATGAAGAGGCTTAGTGTTGGTCCGAGGTTGCCTGTAGGTAAGGAGATAAGGAAGTCTCCGTGAGAAGGGTCGTTTCTTTTCCTCTGCAAGTCTTTCTCTGCTGTTTATCATGTGTTAGTTTCCCACTAATTTTATAAGGAAAATTAGAATGGATGATAAGTTAATGAGGACCGAGTTTATACGTCACACTCCGATATAATTTGGTTATGAATTATGAGATTACGAGTAGGATTAAGAGTTTTGTCTTTCCTCCCTCCTTTCATTTTTTTTTTCCCTGTCTTCTTGATGGGAAATAGTGTGGAAGATTGCGTAGTGAGGGAGAGTTCCAGTAGAGATTCTCGCGTGGGACTTTGTAGACATAGGTATTTTTTTGGGCTTTTTGCCAGGTTTGGTCTTTGGAAATTCGGACAGTGGTTTCCAGCATCCTTTATTTTAACAAGCCCTCTGGGTGTTTATACATTTACTAATGTTGAGGACCATAGCAGTGGGTTATTCTAGGGGAATGCCGTGCTGCAAATTTCTTCAGTTCTGTGTATTTCCTCAAATACCCAAGTTAAAACCATTTTTTTTGTTTGCTCAGATCAGATGCTGAAACAAAAAGAGTTTTGGAAGAATTGGCTGAAAAACTTAATGAAGCCCAGAAACAAGAAGTGGTAAGAATGATGTTTATAAAAAAATTAATTTGGGAGATGGTATTAGTGTGGCTGGGCTGGTTATAATTATGGACAAAGACTTGTGAAGTTTAATCTCTAGATGATGTAAGCCCATTTAAAATATGTTTTGCACCTTCATAAATTTTTGGATATTAGAGTCTGAAATACTATAATGGTGGCATGAATATATTTCAAGAACTTACAGAAACATGAATGTTTTTAGATTTATTTTTTTATTTTTATGGGAAAGTCAGATATACATAGAGGAGGAGAGACAGAGAGGAAGATTTTCTGTCTGTTCATTTACTTCCCAAGTGGCCACAATGGCTAGAGCTGCACTCTAGCCAAAGCCAGGAGCCCGGAGCCCCTTCCGGGTCTCCTACACAGGGGCAGGTTCCCAGTGCTTTTTGGATCATCCTCTCTTGCTTTCCCAGGCCACAAGCAGAGAGCTGGATGGGCAGTGGGGCTGCCAGGATTAGAACTGGTGCCCATATGGGATCCTGGCACATGCAAGGCAAGAACGTTAGCCACGAGGCTCCTGCGCTGGGCCTGCGAAGTGTATTTAAAGTATCATATTTTGGAGGGGGGTTGGAACAATTCTGAAATTTACACTTTTTCATAATGTGCATTTTGCAGACCCTTGTGTACGTGGATTTCAGATTTTTTTGTGTTCTATTTGCTGTAGTTTTTGTATATAGTTGCCTTGATGCTTACCTAAAACATTTACACTGTTTTAAGCTAATAGGAACTCTGTTGCGCATGACTTTACACATCATATTTGTTTTTGGTGTTACAGTAGAAATCTTTTATATTGTGTAGCCCTTAAATAACTTATTATAGCTTAGTTATTGCTGACCATTGGACTTTTGGCTTCGTATTAGAGATATGTATGACTTACACATGGTTTGTACATTATTACAGTATTGTTCACTTGACTATAAAGTTACTTCTCCCAGGGAGCTTTATGCTCTCATATATTTCTGATAATAATTATTGTCCTTTTGTTTGTGTTGGATGAACTTTCTTAAAGCATTCCTTGTAAGGCACAGTAGTGGGAATGAATTCCTTCCCTGTGTGTGTGTGTGTGTGTGTGTGTGTGTGTGTGTGTGTGTGTGTGTGTGTGACTATTCTGAGTGTGGTATTTTTGTATGGAATATAATTTTTTCTTTTTACACTTTGAATGTACTATGTTATTTGCTCCTGGCTTAAAATTTTTTTTTTTCCTGCAAAACCTGCTGCTAGTCTAACAAAGACAATTTTGTGCATAAATTGATGCTTTTAAATTTTCTCTGGGTCATTGACTTTTGATAATTTGATTATAGTGTGCCTTAGAGAGGGAGGACCATTTGGGTGGAATCTTTTGTGGATTTTTGACTTCCAGTAATCCAGATATCTGTTTCTCCAGAGACTTAAGATTTTAGCAGTTGTTTCAATGAATAAGGTTTTTGCTCCTCTATTTTCTGTGCTTTAATTTCTGGAACTCGCATGTGGTTAAGCATTTGTTGGAGCCAGCACCGATGTGTAGATGTTTAAGCCACCGCCTGGCAGACTGACATCCATGTTGTAGTGTCAGTTGGAACTCTGGCTGCTCCACTTTCAGTCTAGCTCCCTGCTGGTGCTCCTGGGAAGGCGGTAGAAGATGAGCAGGTGCTTGCACTCGGGCCAGCCCCGGGGAGTCCCAGGTGGAATTACTGGCTCCCTTTGGCCTTACCTATTCTCCCTCACTGCCCTGTCTCCTTACTGAATTGTTTCTGTTCATCTGTCAACTCCATCGATCTCTTCTTCCGCTTGACACAGCATACTATTGAAGTTGTATTTTAAACTTCATTTGTTGAATTTTTCTATTCCAGTAATTACCTCTGGTTCTTTGTTATGTATACTTTATTGCTTATTCAGTGCACAAATTGTTTTTCCAATTTCAATGAATTGTGTATATGCGTTTTCCTGCATCTTGCTGAATTTTTAAAAATATTGTTATTGTTTAATGCCTTTTACGAAATCCCCTGATTTCTCTCACTGGGGCCGACTGCTGGAGCGTTGCTGTGTTCCCTTGACAGTGGCCTGTCTCCTTGCATGTTTGTGTTTCATGTTCTGTGTTGATGTCTGTGCTTTTTCCAAGGACACTTTGACCTGCAGATGAACCTGAGTGTGCTGGGGAGGCTGGCTGCAGGGATAGGGTCTTTGTGAGACTTGGCTTGTGATCGGCACTAGCCCTGACTGCGTCCGCCTCGGCAGTTCCGGCTGCAGGAGTTTCTGCCTTGATGGCGGCTGGCTGGGTCTTTAGGGAGAAGCCTCGGTCAGGATCCTCTTGTTGTCATCTTGATCGCAGTGAGGAGTGTGTACTCGGGGAGATCTGTCTTGGTCTGGGATCTGATGTGCATCACAGCCAGCCACGGAAGCCTGGCTTTGTGGCACAGATCTTGGAGTGGTTGTTGAGTCACATTCCTCAGGTCAGGAGTTTGCTAAGCTCGTGTAGCACCAGGCATTTTGAGGCACAAGTTCTGTCCGCAAACCGGCGTTGGCTGCACTTACCCTAGTACACTGAGATCTTCTCTGAAGCACACGGTAGCAGCTCCGACCCAGGGGCTGGGGTGTAGCTGTGGTTCTGAGTGTGGGGAAGGAACTTGGATTCCCTCAGCTCTGGAGAGGAAAGGGTGCTTTAGAGGCTGTGACAGGGGAAGGCCAGGCACAGCTGCATTATTTTAAATAATGATGTATTTGAAAGGCAGAGTTATGTACATTTTCTCTTTTTCTCTCTCTGTCTCTCCTCCCCTCTCCCCCCCATCCACAGGTTCATTCCCTCAATGGCCAAAATAACCGAGGTTAGCCCAGGATGAAATCAGGAGCCTAGATCAGCCACATCTCCATGTGGGTGGCAGGGACCCAAGGCCTTGTGCCATTTTCAGCTGCTTTCCCAGGACATTAACAGGGACCTAGATCAGAAATGAATCAGCTAAGACTTGAACCAGCATCCACAAGCAATACTGATGTTGCAAGTGACAGCCAAACCCACTGCACCAAAACTGTAGCCCCGTACAGCTGCATTTCTGTGACAAAAAGCTTGACAGGTTCATTGATAATTTGGACCACAGGGGATGAACTGCCATGCAGTGATAATTCTGGACCCTGGGATGGTGGTAGGTGAATGTGGTCCAAATCCTATAAGATCAGATGCTATAGCATAAGGGACTCAAGGACCCAGGGGTGGCAAGATGCGGCTCTAAATTGGGCCCTTGTTGGGGTGTGTAACCGTACAAAGTTGACTTTAATTCCATGCAGAGTTGGGGTGCCTCAACAACTCAGACTGAGGAAATTCTAAAGTCTGAATGCGTTTTACCCCCAAGAGTTCAATATGTTCAAAGCTTCTTTCCCAGTCTGACTATGCTGAGAGATGAGGGGTGCTTTCAGAGGTGGAGCCTAATGGAGGGTTGGCAGGTCATTGTGAACTATGTCCCGGGCAGTGTTTAGGGTAGTTCTCACGAGACCTGGATGAATGCCATGAGAGGTTGTTACAAGACAGCCAGGCTGGCCCGCCCCACCCTCTGGCTTCACTCAGATCTCACTGTGTGATCTTCTCCTGCCTGTGCTCCTGCCATTGTGATGCCATCACCATGGGACCCTCATTACAGCAGAGATGTTGGCACCATGCTCCTGAACCTCCAAAATCGTGAGCTAAATAAACCTCTTTTCTTCATGTATTACTCAGCTTTAGATATTGTGTGAAGGCTATGGAAATCAGATGAACACAGGGAGTGTTGTCTAGTTGCAGTCACATGTGGGCCCGTGGCTGTTTGACTGGGTAGGCAGCGTGGTATAGTTGAACCGAATCTCTGATTCTGTGGGATTTGAGATACTGTGAGTGCCGTGCTCACAGAGCTCAGTGGAGGCCCTGGGCTCCTGGGCATTGAGCGCTGTGTCAGCTGTGGTCCTGGAAGGGGTTATGGCTGCTGTGGTAGAAGCCGAGGATGTTACTGTGTTTGGGAATACATAGGAAGGTATGTCAAGAAGTTTGTGGAAAATGAAATTGATATTTGCTTGAGTAAAAAAAAAAATCCATTCATACCAGTGATCCATGGGAAGAAACTAGAAAATATGTATTATAAAAAGAATAGCATACTTATGTTTCAAATTTTCCCCTTTTCCCAAAGTTAAACCTATTTTTGAGATTGTATTTTTCAGAAACACTTTAATGTACTGCTGCGTATTTACTTTTTGCCATATACCAGGGCCAGTAGCAATCTTGGATTGTTGTATTGTTTGTTGGTGTGTTAATTTAAGAGAGAAACTTTTGGAAGTATTTCTGGTTTCCCCTTGGTATTAGCCCTTTAGGGTTCTAGTCCAAAGTAGCTGGTGGTGAGGAAGGTCCTGTTTCTTGAAAGGCCTTAAACTCCAGGTTTTTTGCTTTTAGCCTCACAGTCTCTTTGTTTTTCTTCCATTTCAGCTACCTTTTTTGAAATGGACTAACAATTGACCCTGAAAGACAGGCTGATCTCTCAGTTTCTTTGTTCTTCTATACATTAGTCTCCTAGGTCCTTACTGCTTTTATTTTAATTTTTACTTAACGCTTTTTTTTTTTTAGCTTTCTAGTGTTTTAAAATATATTTTTATTTAAAATATTTGCCGGACTATCAGTGAATAAGTTCATCTGAATTATCTAGTGTGCAATTTTTGGAAGTGAAACGTCTAGAAATTTTTTGTATATGCTCGATTTTTTTCAAAGATTTATATTTTATTTATTTGAAAGGCAGAGAGAGAGGAGGGGAAAGAGAGGGAGAGAGGAAGGCAGAAAGGAGAAGAGTGGGAGAGGTAGAGGGAGGAAGGAGAGAGAGAGACAGAGAGAGAGATGGATCTTCCATACTCAGGGTTGTTCCTTAAATGGCCACAGCAGCCAGGGCTGGCCAGGATGCAGCCCAGAGCCAGGAATGCCTTGTTAGTCTTCCACATTTGGTGGCAGGGACCCAAGTACTTGGGTCTTCTCAGGCACATTAGCAGTAAGCTGG